GTCAATTGATTGATAAATCTGGCACTATGAGCGGAGGAGGTAACAAAGTGTTTAAAGAAGCCATGAGTTCAACATTTCCTTCTGACACAACATCGGAGACAATATCGAAATTGGAAAAAGACCGTAGCCACTTTGAAATGCAGTGGAAAGAAATAAATGAAAAAATTAGGTCTTTAGAACCTCAATTTCAAGAGAAAAAAGATGAACTTTCTAAATTAGAATTGGAGCTATCGAAGTTAGAATGGATGCGAATGCTTGCGCAAAACGTATTATTTGTACTGAAAAAAGAGTAACCGAGTTACGGTATGTATAGAACTACTAATAAATTCTTGTTAAGGGTTAACATTAATCATTTTTTTTATTTTTTTCTATAAGGCAAAAAATAATCCAAGTATAGATGATACCAGGCGTATGGGACAACTTCGAATACAAATTGATCATCCATCTCAAGAGTTAAATAGATTGAAAAGACAACCTTCTAAAATTGAAGAGGAGATTAAGATAAGATTTTGGAAATTGGGGGTGATAAACTTCGAGCTCAAAAGTCTAATTAGATCATGTTAAAAATCAACTTGTTTTAATAAATGAGCGAATTATCAAGCCTCAAATGGCCAAATCAAGGGCGGAAAAGGATAGGATTAATCGAAAATTCTCTAGCAAAAAGTGAAAGAGAATTAGAAGAATTAAATAATGACTTACGAAAGAAATTCAACAGAAAGCCGAAGTTGCTCGTTCAATTCGTATTAAAACCGATGAAGCCAAATCAGTATTTATTCAGACTAATGTTTAATTATATCCGATTTTTTTTTAAAAAAAATATATATACAGTCAACTCTCTATAAATGCACCCCCCTCGGGACTAAACAAAAGTGTGCATTTATACAGGGAGTGCATTTATAGAAGAATATAGAATAATCGGCCGGGGATATATGCGCATTATGAAATACCGCGCCTATCATCTTTTATTACATGCGCGGAAATTAAAACGATCAACTGCGCCGAGCCGATACAGTTTAATTTTTTTTTTTTTTTTTGTATTTCCTCTTTACCTCTTTCCTTCTTTACCTCTTTACCTCTCCTTCTCTTCCTTTTTAGGAACGGCATTCTTGGACCCTTGGACTTCCGAACTTTCTTAGAATATAAGTGTAAACTGCAACATTACAGCATTACCGCAGCTGCAACGCGTTACATAATAATATATAGCAGTGTGATACACAACGCGATATATTATATTATTTATAGTTACATTATGATTAATCTATACTTTATTTTATTAGGTAATTTATAATTCTGATCGAGACTATAATCACATAGTCACGTGAGTGCATTTATGTAAAAAATTTTATATATACGAAATTGGAAAATTATTGCACGGTGTATAGGAGAAGAGGGTGCATTTAGCACTAATTCCCCGACTCGGGACTGAGCTAAGTAGTGCATTTAAAAATGGTGTACATTTATTTATAGAGAGTTGACTGTAATACTTATTTAGATATTGGAAGGTAAAAAAGAAGAATTATATGAAATCAAGGAAAAACTTGATGAAAAAACCGAAATAAATAGTCGGATTCGAGTAATTGAGGTTATATTTTTATTATTTTTATTTATTATTATTCTCTTAACATTACGTCAAATTTTTTTTTATAACCAATCACTGTGTACTGTATTAGTTAAAAATCAAAAACCAGCTAGAAGATAATGAGCCGCACTTTGGTAGAAATAAACAAAGAAATCCTTTGGCGAAATTCTCTTAGAAATCTTACACTTCTTGAGATTTGGTAGCGTGCTAATGATATTTTTAAAATATTCATTCTACCATTTATCTAATTAACCTTATAAATTGAGGTGATGAGGAGCAAGAATGTCAAATTTACACTGATGATGAGCTCGATGCAGTGGACAAAGATACATTACAAGGAGAGATCGATGATCTTAAAGTATTTCAATTTATCTTTTTATATTTTACTTATTCTTTACATTTAATATTTTTTTAAAAAAAAAATTTTTTTCAGGAAAAAAAAAATTTTTTTCAGGAAAAAAAAATGCCAATCCAAATCTAAGTATTTTGGAAGATTATCGTCACGTGTTAGAGAGATCTTGAAGAGATTAATTACTTCTAAGCATGATAAATGTAAAGAGGAATATGACAATTGGAAGAGTTCATACATGAGTTCACTTTGATATCTAGAAACTCAAAGAAATGTATCTGATATCTAAATGGCACTTTTCCAACGATCATTAATCTTGGCATAATGTATATTAATTTTGTCAAAATACAGACACATTTCTTTGGCTCTCTACACTAATTCAAACCTACACCCTTATATGTTATGGATGAGGTTGATGCGGCCTTGGATTTTCGCAATGTGTCAATCGTCGCCAACATTATGAAAGAATGTACTAAGACCCACAATTTATTGTTATTAGAAACGCTTCCAATTTGTGGTTAAGTTATAGGTATTAGAGGACTCATTCATCAATGCTTAGCATGGAGAAATGGATTGTTGAAACTATCAACTACACATTAAGGTTTTGGTTTATCCTTTTTCTTTTGAAGTAGAGATTTTCAAAACGTCTCGGTCTTTTTCACTTTCTCGCACATGTCACTACCGTCACACATAAGAGCAAGATTGTCACGACTTAATGTCACTACGCGTCATCGAGTTTTGCTAAATGCGATCCTATTCGCTTGTATTATATTTTGGGCAATTAAAAACTATTTTATAAAATGTCTAAAATAAGAGAATAGAAAATCTATTATATTTTATTGTAAGCATCATTTATAAAGAAGTGGTAATGAGGTTGGAATAATGATTCTAAATTGCGAATTAAAGTATTCGTCATATGATAATCAACATTCTCACTCCTTTCATTTACATCAACATCACCCTTTCCATTCACCAAATATTCTTTGAAGCACAAATTTTCCATCTATCGAAAGGATTTCGATATACGTATTATAGTTTCATCATAGACATCAGCATCAAATATTTTTAGAACCAATTTTTGTCGGGTAGAAATTGCCATACTGAATGAGGTGTAAGCGAATAGTATTAAAAAAAAGATTTATTCGTAGTAGACTTTTTTTTAGAAATCTTGTTACTTTTGTAACTGTACAATTTTTTTGGTTTAGGTGACACAACGAGACCAATTTTAAAGGTTTGATACAGACAACTTCTATCTTGTGGAAAGTAAACTAGGGAATGGTAATTGTGAGTCCGGAGCTCGCAAATCATTAAGTGTAAGCTAATTTCTCATTTTTTTTTTTAATTTATTTTATTTCAAAACTTTATATATGAAAGAAAATTATTTCTATATGATCATGCTAAAAAGTCAATTAGACGATGTTATAGGGCTTTATTGTATTATAATATTCCTCAAGAAATTTTTAGATAAAATATCTAGAATATAGTCAGAATCTTGAAACTAATAAAGATCGTAGAATCAAATGTTAAAAAGTTTCGTAATACTATTCTTAATATATCTTATAATAGTCTTAGAGAAACAAACCATTCTTCTGTTATAATAGAAAATGAAAACAACGACGGAAACAACAAAAATACTTCTTTTCTTTCGTAACAACTAATGAATGGAAAACGGCAGACAAATACATCTTTAAAATATTCAAATATATAACACAAAGATCATACGAAATTCTTGAACTCTTTTGACGACAAAATTAAATTCGCAAAATAGGATATAGTTTTTTTGAAGATCAACATTTATTTGCTGATATTTCAAGATCACAATTGCATTATTAGAACAAGTGTAGCCAGTAAGATGCTTTCAATTGATGCTGAATTTACAGCTCTTTTGAAAATCTAAATTCAATTTCCTCATCGTAATTTCATATTTGGTAAAGTCACAATCAGAAATGATGAAAGTTTAATATTCTTTCGCGTCGAAAGTTTATATATTAAATGTTTAATGAAATATTTGCTGAAATTATATATTGAAATTCTTCGTCAAGGTTGGCAAAGCTTCATAAAACGTGCACGGTTAATGGATCTAACATTTCTTCACGAATCATTTTCAAAATGGCCTTGCAAAAGGATGGTGCTGAACTTTCAAAGATCAAAATTATAGAAATTATGTTAGAAATCTAAAACAGTTTTTTCTATTTCGACTCTGATAAATATTTGTTAAACCAGTTCAATGGATAATTATTCAGATGCATAAGCTTATGATATTGGAAATTTTGTCATTCATTATGTAATTATTTCTGGAAAGATATCAATATGTGAACTATTAATTCTTAACCTGATTCAACACTTACTGTAACCGATCCAGAAAAATGTAAATATTATTCTGCGAATTACGAAAACATGCACGTAGCTTCCGTTGCTACATCTTAAGAATTATATATAGAAACGGAAAATTCATAATTGTATTGGCTAATCAAGAAGCATATGAACAGCATAGCAAGCAGGAACCTGAACTTTGGAAAGCTCATGGAGTTGAATTACTTGTACAATTATGGAAGGATGATTATATATGAAAACAGAATCAAATTTTTATATTATCCTTGAGGCAATGATTAAATACAATTCGAGGATTTAGAATTGGACTTGGAGAACTTTTATATATGCAATTGCATTATATATAATTCTACTTAATTTTATTGATATTATAGGTTTATAAAGTTTATCTTCATCTCAATCCTAGAGTAACAAACGTGCTTGGAACTCTGGGCGTTAAGAGCATTCACATCAAACCTTTCGATTTTGTTAGTTCAACATCTACAGTCATTTTAGTGATTTTATTTTTAGAAAATTTAAAAAAATGAGGGTAGTAGAATAGGATTAGAAAATTAGATTCTTTTATTTTTGATATATACTACATATATATATACAGAGGGTATTTTTTGTTTATTTGCTTTGTTTATAAATGCATGTCATCACAACAATCACTATACTTTTAATTTTCTTTCGAATAAAAAATGGTTAAGACAAAAGGATTAACGGCAGAACAATTTGCAATTCTTTATGGCTATAAACGGGTGATTCTTATAAAAAAATTGCCAAAGAAACGTTGTCCAAGCCACTTCTTAATTCAAATGCACAAGCCTCGCTCAAAAAGCTCGTTACACAAATTTCGAAGCACCGCCGCCTTACCACTCGTAAAATTCAAGAATAAAAAAGGGTAGTCTCAACCGTTACAAATTCGTCGAACCCTACCTAGCTTACGTTCGTGTGTTGCCCGCTCTAAACCACTAATTACTGAAAATAACAAATACAAAAGATTGGCTTGGGCATTGGAACGAAAAGTGCAGAGTGGAGAAAGTTGTATGGTCTGATGAATCAACATTTAGTTAATTTTTACAAAGTCGTAGCTTACGTGTGTGGCGTATCCAGAGGAAAAGTTTGACTCTTCTTGTTTTAACTGCCACGGTAAAACATAGTCCCAGTCGAATGTTTTGGGGATGCTTTTCATGGCATGGGCTGGGGCCATTTGTTCCTCTTTGTGAACCTGTAACAAGACAAAGACATGCCGAAATTTCCATGAAAATCGCTTTCGATATTTGCAGTTAATTTTTTGAAGATCATTTGTCAGGCTGACACGGTGCCAGCTGTCAAAGGCGCCAGGTTGCAATAGGCGCCAGGCTGTCAAGGTGCCAGTATGACAAAATGTCAAGACGCCAGGCTGACCTAATTTTTTTTTTTATAAATAGAGCCGGAAATCCTTAAACAACTTAACATTCCACGCTCGCCCTTGTTATATTTTGCATGAAATCCTTCCTTTAACCCCTTCGCGATATTTTCGCTTTCGTCGTTTTAACTTTTTGATTTCGTATTTGTAACTTCGTTATCTTTTTTTAATTTCCGATTCTATTATTATTTTATTATTCAAATTAATCAGTGTTACCTCAACGTCGGCGCTCTGCACTTTCGCAACGTCAATATATTAATCCAAGTAAATGCCAATCAATAAACTCTAATTAATTAAAACAGCGCAATTACGAACAATTAAAAAATTGATATTATTAATAAATATATGTCACAATTACTTCATTTTTACTCAATAATTATTCAATAAAAACCTTCTGCTTACATTACAAAATCGTTTATAAATACATAAACGAAAGAACTGAATACAACAGTATTACGGAAACACTATTCCTTCACTTTATAAATTAATTCCTCGTAAACAATGAATTTTCAAGAGGATAATGCTCCACCTAGCTTGCCGTTGACGTTCGTAACGCCGCAAACATTTACCCTGGCCTGCAAAGTCCCGATCTGAACCGATCGAGAATCTTTGGAATGAAGTTGATAAGAAAGTGCGTAACTTGCCTAATCAACCTACAAGCTTGGAAGATTTGGAACGTAAAGTTTTGCGTTCGATTATATTCAAAAATTAGTTGTTAGTATGCCCCGTCGAATCCAAACGCAGCCGAGGGTGGAGCAACAAAGGGAGTTTTTTTTTTTTAATAAAAAATGTAAAAATATATTCGGAATAAATATAATTTTACTTATCAAAAATAAATTGATATAAATAATTATAAATAATAATTTTTCAAACGTTCGGATATCCGTGATCACCCTCTGTATATATTATAATAATATACTGTAATATAAAAATATAACAAATATAACTCATACTACTAATCTTCATCGTTAAGGCAATGTCTGCATCCCGTACACCATTTTTGACAATTCTTTAAGGTACTTTTCACAGACTTATTTTGAGCACTGAAAGTAGACGAGAATGTACTTTTTGAGAAGGGATATTTGATGAATCTATTTTACCTAATTTTTAAAAAGAAAAAATGTATGAAGGAAGGTAGTGTCGTTCTCTGATAAATGGCATAAGGCCAAACAATTATTACAATGCTTCTTAGTCGAAGCAATTCCAAATCCTGTGTTAGACGTTTCCCATTGGTATGATTGATTACTGCATTTGTATTTGACGAAGGATTCATAGGAAGTAAAGGTATTTTCAGTTTGATTAAACGTAACCTTCTTTGGTTCATTCTAAGCATTTATATCCTACAATTTCCCTATATCCCAACTACTATTCCTAAATCACCGGATTATGCGATTCGACAATTCAAATAAGTTATTACGTAAACTGATAAATATATCGTACGCTCCTTAATGTAATTAACGATGATCGAACACAATGCCGAAATCAAGGCCGTATCAATTTCATCCATGACGTTAAAAAATATTTTCAAAATCATTCTATTTAAATTAAAAAGGATGCATTTATCAGCAGCTTTTGCAATGCATCCTTTAATAAGATCCCAAAAATATTCAAGGCAGTTTTTGAGTGCAATAGGTTAGATAGTTGGCATCCACCTAAATAACTATCTGTTTTTTTTTTGGCGAATTTTTTCCAAGAGTAACTTCACTACTAGAACCATTCCCTCTTATTTTTTCTAATCCGGTTGACATTATAGAATTCATAAGTTGAATAAGGTTCTTAAAATATATAGTGATAGGTAAGGTAATAGAATTTAGAATACTTTTTTTTTTTTTGAACACGACAAAAATACCAATAAAAATTTGTGAGGTTTCCTGTTTTACAGAACGATTTATATATCCCCTAAATTCACAACAAAATGAAAATAGGATTCTTATTCCTATACGTTATAAAACGGTCGAACTGTAAAAGAACTGCATTTATTTATGTTTTACAGCAGATGATTGGCCGTATAGGAACTTAAGAAAAATTTTTTCCCGCGCTTTTTTTATTTTTGATTTACTCACTTAAATAAATTTATGGGAGAATAAAGTTTCAATGAGTTCTTTCGTAACTTCAATGAAAATTCAACGTGATATCATTAATCAAACAAAATATAATATGTACTGTATGTATCTATATTAAAACGAGAAAAGCTAATGTTTTCAAAATCACGGGAAAAAATGAAATTTAATTTTGTCCGCAGCAAAGATTTTATTATATGACGTTTTCGCACAACATTACCTTCTTTACATATTTTTTTTGAAAAATATTACGACTAGGAAAGTTAATAATGATACACGATACATTTCAAAATTCAAAAACTGAAGAAAGAAAGTAAAGTTTATTTATAAGTGTTATTTAAAGTTTATAAAGTATTGTTATATACAAAAAGTATCGTTATAAACAATAATGGTATTAGTTTCTCATAATTATTTTTTTTATTAAAATTGGTCAAACAAAATTTATTGCTTGAATTTTATTCAGTAGATCATCCGCAGCTTAATTACATTTCAGGAAGAATAAGGGACCAAATACTTTGATTCCGGTTCATTATTTTTTGGATTGTTATTTTTCGGGAAATTTTATTTTTTACTTTTGGAACCGAAAATTTATAAATCACGTGGCAAACTTTTGGATTTACAATTTTATATTAACAAAAAAAAAAAAAAAAAATGAAAAGAAATTTCTTTCAAGGTCTATAATAATTTTCAAGAAAAAACGAAAAAAAATGACAAACTTAAAAACGAAATAAAATAAATCAAACTCTTCATCGCTTCTATACGGCCGATGTAAAGTCGCTAAATCGGAGGTTTCAGCAAAGTATCTTCAACCATTTCAACCAACGCGCAACATTCCGCCACCTTTAATTTCTCACACTCCCCAAAAATATAGTATGACTCACAATACTTTCCCACCATAACTGTTTTAATTTCTTTTGCAACGACAAGAAATCTATTATTTTCTCTGACCGAAATTAACGTCAGGAGGTAAATTAAATCTATGAAGAAGTTTTGATGGGACGTCAACCTTAGATTCTTTTGTCATTTCATCAAAAAGAATAAAGATTAATTTTTTTTTAAAAAAAAAATATTATCTTGATAATAATTTTTTTAAAAATTAAAGTTACTTGTTAAAAATTTTTTTTTTAAAAAAAAAATGGATATTTAATTAATAATACAATTTAAGACCAACCCGAAATAACTTAATGATTCTATAAATTACTAAAGTTATAGGACTTAACCGACACGAACTACCTGAAGCTTTCTAAGGTTATTCTTTTAAATAATTCATTAATTAAAATAAATCCCCTTCTTACTCATTTTCACCAATGTACGTAATCTCTTCAATTACTTGAAGGGCATTCGAGAGACCTCTAGAGGTAACCTTGTTATCATTAGGTAAAACCAACCGTTTCATGGTACCCATTCTATTGGCATATTGAACGATGATGCAAAGATATTCATCATTGATAAAAGTTGACATAGGGAATTGTAAGATTTCTAAGTTACATTGCAACCTTTCGAATAGCCGATGTAACGTCACCAAAAAAAACACTAGATTGATATTAATCGTTAAATCTTGCAAACTAGTGGGGATATGCATAGATAATCTCCTCCAAAAATCTTCATCGTTGGTCAAATCCGATTCTGCAGAGAAGATAAGTCTACTTAGTTGATTTGTAGAGTTCAGGAGATTCAACACTTGAGGAAATGTTATCCTTCTTATATGAATTTCGAGCAAACTTAAATTTGGACATGATAACGATAAAACATCCATGATTCTCTCGGTTGGGAAAGTTGTACCGCTAAAATTCAACGGTAATCTTCTACCATGAATTGAACTTAATCCAATTCGTAAAACTTGTAAATTATGATTGGTACCCGAGATCAAGCTTGCTAAAGGTTCCATTTGATCACCCATTTGAGGCGTTCTCGTTAGGATCGACCTAATATCATCCATTGGGTCATAAAATTTTATAAATGTAAATGTGTTCAAATGTCCGAAATTCGCGTTGTTTAAAGGCGAGATGACTTCTTTGGTTAATCCCGGACAATTCGTTATCGCTAATTTTTCCAACTTGCAGCATGAAGAGATCGTTTCAAATATCAAATGCGCCGATCGGATAAAATCAAAATTAACTTTATCAAATGTTAATTCCGTTAAAGTCTTGACGTGACATCCTAACGATAAAATTATTGTCGGGGTATGTAGAGTTCCTTGACATATGACAACTTTCTTTATACATTTTTGATTTCTAATTAAACGATGCATCATGTAATCTATGTTTGGTTCGAAATCAAAAGGATGATCCGTTGATTCTGACGAGAAACGAAATTCCAAGGTTTTGAGATTTTTGGTAGAGGATCCAAGCAATTTCATGATATTAGCATCACTCTCGTTGACACCAATTTCAAGTCTTTGTAAATTTGTTAGAAAAGGTTTCGAATCTCTAATGATAGCGAGTATGTCATAATGAAACGGTGATAGATATTCCTTCACTCTATTATCCCGCAAAGGAACCGTGGGCGGTCTAAAATTATGAATTTTTAAATTGTCGGGCAAATAAGGTACGTCAAGAAATCTTATGACATTAAATGATAAATCTTTCACGGCATTATATTTAAGGAATAATTTGATCAATTCTTTTGAGAACGCTCTTAATAGATTGGTTCTATCGTCCGACGAGGAAAGTTTTTGTTGACCTTGACAGTCCGCCTCATGCAACCATACCGAACTAAAATCATAAACGTTATGATATTGTATTGATCTAATAAAAAAAGGATAATCGAATACAATCGGTTCGGGTTTAATGATAATATTATGAGGTGATAAGAGCTTCTTGGATTCTTCATCGAAAAAGTGGGTATACGTTTCAATGAGTTTACCAGACGACGGACGGCTTACAAGTTCGAAAGGACGACGCCATAACGTGGATACTACACAATCACACCAGTATCTGTCCACAAGTAGGCATGAATGTAATGACTTTAAGTCATCTTCGAATAATTTAAATATCATTTGAAGGCATTCTGGTGGTAATTTTGACGACATAATTGAATGTTTAGGTGCGGTATGTTAAAATAATTCAAAGGGAGGAGAAAAGAGATGATGGTAGTTTGATGGACAATGATTCATTTATGTCTATATATATATATAAACAAACTTTCATGATCAGATAAGAAAATACTATTAATAAATTTCATTAGAGAGACCCCAGTCAAATTTTTTTAGAACATTGTTAAACGTAAAAAAAAAGATCGGCAATCTACAGTAAAATCAGAACGACATGCATTTTTGTTGATTAACGCATTGATAGAATTTTTTTGTGTATGGCTTGGGACCTTGGGACATGTAACAGTAATATCCTGAAAAAATTTGAATATTTTTTATCTAAATATTCTTGATGCATTAACGATAAGGTTTGGAATCGGAGCCATAGGATTAAAATTCTCCAATCGCCTCCTTTTGAATAAATTCTTTATTAGCTCACGTCTTTTAAAAATGAATTCAAAAATGGTCGGTCGTACAAGGTGAAAAAATTTTTGTGTCAAATTTTTTAAAATAAACTGTAAACAAACATGTTCAAAGTAAAAAAGGGTCAGAAACTCGGATAAAACCTATTTTGGAAAGAAAGGAAATTTGAAAAGGTGATCATCATGGGATTCTATATTTCAAATTTGATAAATTTAATAATTTAATTTTTAGTAAACAAAAATTAATTTTTCGAATTTTTAGCAAACAAAAATCAAGTTATAATTTAGTGAATTATAGTATCGATTGTGATTATTAATACACAGTATACTTCTAACTGAGGAGCTTTTTTAACATCCGAAATTGTCTCTAATGCGAATTTATGAAAAAAAAAATTCCCGCCATTTTTTTTTTTTTTTTTTTTTTTTGTAGAAATTTTTATGGCTTTTTATTACACTTTTACCATTGTTGTTAACATCAGAAATTGTTAAATATATATAGGAAAATAAAAATTTTTAAAAAAAAAAATTATTTTGCAACCAAAATTTTCTTGTATAACGAAAACATATTTTACCGCAGTAATGTTTTGGAAATGGTAAACTGTAAAATCGGATAAAAAAAAATAATTTTTTTTTGGATGTGTTCAAATTTTCTTTAAAATTAATTATATTTAAGAATGTTTTTGATTCATAGTATTTACGTAATTAATAGCAACGAGGCGCGAAGAGATCCGAGCGATCCGGATGTCCGAAGAGCCATTCTTCGAAAAGGCGGATGAATTTTAGTGATTGGAAGTTGCGTGCACGTATAAAAAAGGGAAATACAATAAAAATCGGATGTTTTTATGTGGTATGGTTATAAAAATATAAAAAAATAATAATACGCTTATGAATTATTTGGACTCAAAGACTGAAATCAGACGATGTTTAAAGATTATTAATTATTAATAAGCAGAAAAGGTTTCGTTATATTCGAAAGATAAGGATTCAAGGTAACAGGTCAAAATGTAAATCAGGTGTTTTTTAGTTTATTATAATAATGGGAGATTTAAGAAAAAATAAATTTTTTTTATCATAGAATATAGAAGAACAAATCATTCGAGAGTTATTAAGGATCGATCAATGAATACGAAAGTTGGAATTGGTGGGGTGAGGGGAATGAGTGTAAAATTTGGGGAGCGATTATTTATGTTTATTTAGTTGTTCCATCAGGAACATATTTAATAAAGGACGGTCTCTTTCGAATTGGTACCTTCTTTGAAACTCGTCCTTTCCTTTCTCTGACAACGTGTTCCAAGATCTGGCGGCCACCTTACTTAGCCTGGACATTTGCATATTCTCAGGCCGAACCTTCATCATTTCTTGTCGATATAACATGAACATATTCGGGTTTCTTGTTTTTTTTGGTTTTGGATCATCGTTATGTTTATATTCTATAAATTTAACCATAGTGTAAAATTTAAGATATTTGATATGTTTAAATGATTCAAGTAAATTTGGGGGGGGGGGGGTTTTTTTAATTCAAACAAATGAATTATGAGGGAAGCAGACAGACATGTTCTATTTATATACTACGTTACCTTATCAAGAATCTTTTTTTTTTTTTGAAAAAAAAAAAATTGTTTAACATTGGAATACCTGTTTGTTGACGGAGTACCGGAAACCTAAATACGGAGACTCATCAGTATAATCGAATGATAAAAAATAAATAAAAAAAAAAGTTTTTCATTCGATTCAAATTACATAGCACTCAAACTCGCATGAGTTTTTTTATTGGGACGGATTATATTTTGTCCAAGCATTCTTATGCTTTATTGCTTCTCATATATCCATTGAAAGCCTAAAATATGAATTTGAAGGATTGAAATAACGAAAAAATTCATTCATTGTGCACAAAAAAAAATATATTGTACTTCAAATATAATGATATTTTTAAAGTGTTTACGTCACCTGAAGTAACAAATCAAAAATTTTCCGTGATAATAAGATCTAAACATTTTTGCACACACCCGTATAGAGGCGTTGTTGTGAACCGTAAGACTTGGTTGTAATACATGTTGTATTTGTATATAATGTAATTTTTTTTTTCTTTTCATTTATTCTTTAAAACAAAGATTTATATTGTTTTGTTTATTTGTTTATATTTTTCATTTATAAAGAAAGATCTTCGCCGGTCCGTAACTCCGATATAATCTATTTACGGAATATCAAATCCGGTGAACAGATCAGACCTGAAGGTGTAACCGCCCCTAAATTTTCAATATCGATCACGTTTCTGTCGGAAAATTTATGATTTGTTACTATAAGATGACGTGCTATACTTTAAAGTTCAAAGCCATCCAACAGGAACTGCATTAAATTACAATGAAAATGAATATTACAATACGTTTAATTTTGTGAATAATGAACCTTTCGTTGATGGATACTATCGAATGAATATTATAAAAATTTTTATTTAAAATTCACGATATGTAGCACAAACTCCTTTTACTGTGAAACAAAAATTCATCCCAAAATCAATTGCTATCAAAGGAAAAGGCCTTCTATAAACATCGTTCTTGTCAGCCATAAAACCCTAATTGGTTCTGTGAAATCAATTTTTCTGTATCACTTATATAAGCGAACAGGAGGTGGGATTCTATTATTCTCATGAGTTTTCCATTTCTTTTGTAATGTTCTGTAAATGAACGAACCGTATCCGGTTAAATGTGAATATAAATTTGGATTATTTATTTTATGAACATACATAATATAAATTTAATTAATATAACTGTATTCATTCGAAATTAAACTTAAGCCATAATTTAAAAAGCTGCAACTAATCAAAAATTCAATGGTGATAATAATCTATTGAATTATTTTTAGGGTGAAAATCGTAAAGATAATGCAACCCTTGTGAAACTGTGAAACAAGGTTATAGGGCAAAAAAAAAAAAGAAAAAAAAAATTCAAAATTTATTTTACTCTTTAATAAGTTAGTCGGATCCCCAAAAACTTAATTCCTAAAGTAAATTTTTTTGAAAAATTATTTCTTTATTGTGTTACATGATTATGTAAATCAAAGGAATTTAATAAGGAGGGACAAGGAAAAATATTTAGGAATATGAAAGACGTTCTCGCACTTTTTAAAATCGACTTGAAGAAGCTGGATACAGGATCCTTCTAGCCATGACAAAAAGGCCTATTGGTTCTTGTAACAAATTGACCACCCGACCCTTTCGGAAAATTAGCTGGATTATTTGTGTCACTTTCGAATAAATTTGATGATTTCTTTGGTTACACGGATTTTTATAAAACTACGTTCAATCAATAAGGCAAAGTTAACTTACTATTTTTCGTTTTTATTATTATTTTATTATTGCATTCTTTGTGTTAATATCATTGGCGTTTTTATATCTCCTTCCATAGGGTTCTTTTGAGGAAAACACCTGACAAACGTACGACATAACATGCAGGACTTTGTTTATTTTAATCAAGAGACGTTTCAGCTCAAAGGGCCAGATTGATATTCTAAGAATCTTGGAAGTTCCGATATCATGAAACAGAAAAGCCCAATGAACTTTAAACTTAATTTACCCCTAAAAGTATGAGGCATTCAAAAAAAGAAATTAAGATTAAAAGCAATGTAGTAAAATGACGATATTCCAATATTATATTGCATTGATGGAATCACATGGTTTTTGTACTCATAAAAACTAAATTTTCCAATTGGTGAATAATTGTAACTCAAGTCATTGGTTTTTATTTAGAACGATATATAGTATTTTCAAAAAATTTGTTTTTTTTTCAGCCAAAATAAAATAGAGGTATGATCGGCAATACAAACAAATTTGAAAAAGTTATTACGCGTACGACCATGATGGCAAAAAAAAATTTTTTTATACAAGCTAATCTACAAAAAATATTTTGATTCTTAAAATAAGGGATGAAAAAAAAAATTAAAACAGTTTTAGAAATTTTAATTAGATTGAAGAAACAAATATTAAATTCCGATTAATTTTGGTAATTCAACTTTTAAAGAAATTTTTGATGAATTTACTTTAATAACATAATTTTTTGATATAAATGAACGACGACTTCCTACCAACATTTTTCAAAAAAAAAAAAAAAAAAAAAAAAAAAAATTATAACTAAAATCAAAACAAACCATATAAGAAACACATTATACATATTTTTTCAATATATCGCAAACATGTCTATTTTCGATTTAGAAGTATGTTTAACTTAACTTATTATAAGAAAAATTAAAGATAAGATATATATTTATCACTTATTTATCTCGTTTATAGACCGATGATCAAATTAAGGAATTTATGCAAGGTGAAGGGAAAAATCTTAGTAAACCGTATATGGAATTAAGTCGCCGTATTCCTAACTTCTCTTCTAAACAATTATGTCATAGGTAAGTTACAACAATATATAACTAGAAAATTTTTTTCAAGACATCTTCTTATTCATGACTTCCTATGCCTTTCTTTTAATCATAAATTTTAGGTGGAATTATAAACTTAATCCTCGCCGTACGTAAAATTTGTCTTTTTTTTTTAAAAAAAAAAAAAAAAAAAAAAAAAAATTAAATTATATGTTTACTCCTCTTTATCAGTTACGGACGGTCCTTTCACGCAGGAAGAAAAAGAGTTCATCTATAAATGGGTTAATGAAAATACCACGGCATCCGGCAAAGTTAGATGGTCACATTGCCAAAAAGCATTGGAGAATAAATTCGACAAATTCCGTGCTGTCAACAGGATTCAAGGAATGTGGCTCACACATTGTCGACACCTAGAACATGATTTACCTAAAGTCTTCTATTATCGTAAACGTGTCAAAACATTCAACACACCTTTGATCTTACCTAAAGCCAACCCCTCTGGTACTAAAAATGCACCAATTGCCTTCTCTAATGTCCCTATTCTTCGACCTCGTCCTCGTTTACCTGCTCTAATTCCTAATTATCAACCGGAAATTAATGTTCCGAAATTTAAGATGTTGCCTTTATTTTAACCCGTCGGGATTTTACTCGGAATGTTTTTTTTATTTCCTATAACGTTTACATTAGTTTATTTATTTTTTTTTTTTAAATTTAATAAGATTATTGGTCTTCATTTTATAACACATGGAATTTTAAGAAACTTATTTTATTTCTTTGTCTACAGTATATTTTATTTAATACTGTTTAGTTTATTTCTTTCAATATCAATATTTATTATTACAAATTTTCTGATCTTTGAACAATTATATTTAATGATATTAATAATATCTTATATATACACAAATATATATATTTCAAATTCACAAAGGTATTTTTAAAGGATTTTTAAAGGAATTCCATATTCATATGACTGTTATATACTTAACTTTTTAAACTTTTAGTTACTCTTTCTTATATATTTATGTCAACTTTTTAATAATAATAAATTATTGTACTTTATGATCCGTTATTACTTCTTGTGGTTGCATTATTATATGAAATCTCCTCATCTATTACGACCCACTTAATTTAAACTTTTCATACCAACTTTTAAGACAAATTTGCCTGACACCTTTTTTAAATGTGAACTTGCTTTTTGTATTATAACGATTACGCAAGGGATTTATAGTATTTTTCATAGGGATGTTAAAATGTCCCATGTGACTAAGTCCGGTCCTGTTCAAAGTCTTTTGAAATATCGGACTGCGGTCCTATAGATATTAGGACTTGCGGTCCTATAGAAAAATAATCGTTCAAGTCGAACGATAACTTATCGTCTTCTTGAACGATTATTTTTCTATAAGACCGCAGTCCAATGACCGCAAGTCCTAATTTCTATAGGACCGAGTCCTAGGACCGCAAGTCCTAATTTCTATAGGACCGCAGTCCTAGGACTGCAGTCTCGGGACCTGGTCCTAGAATCCAGTCCTAGGACTCAAGTCCTATGGACCGGGTCTTCTTTAGGACTGGGAGTTTCGGGACCGGACTAGGACCGGACTGGATTTTAACATCCATAATTTTTCACAATGAGAATACATATAGGTAAGATTGAATAATTTTTGCCATTCTGATATTTTGGAATATTTGCGTGAGCTTTTCACCATATAATCATTTCAGATGAGAAATAATTTTATAAATTATTATTATCCGTAAAATATGAAGTATAATGTGAATCTTTAAGATATTTTTGTTAAACTATATGTTGTAGTATCATATAGCGTTAGCTTAATATTTAGATCAAATGCAGCAATAATAAATGTAATTTGTTAAAATATTCATCAAATTTAATTGCCATTGCAGTTGCAATAATCTTTTAAGTAGTTTTCTTTAAATAATTTATCGAAATTTGATAATTGTTATGAATATTAAGTAAAGATCAAAAAATATTGGATCACAGAACGTATGTTTTTTCAAAAAATTTTTTTTTTCAATTTTTAAAAAATGAATAGGTTATTTATACTTATATTTAAATATTTCTTGGACTAGTCTGTTAATGGGTTGTTGTGACTAAGAATGATGAAAGAATACGATTCTTGTAAGAATTCTTGTCATCACTAAAAAATTTTTACGCGATAAAAATATTTTATATATGTCATGTAAGATTTGCGAATGAATTGAAATCTTTTTTTTATGAAACATACACCACACTAATTACTATTACTTTCTTTCATAATTATCAAAGGATATAATAATCAAATAGTTTAGAGGAAATTTGAAGTTTTAATATTATTAAAAAGTTCAGAATCGTTTAGTTTTGAAGATTAAGAAGAATTAGACTAGATATACTTATTACGTAAGTGCTTAGTAGTAAAAATCACCTACAATAGTTCCAATATAAGCGTTTATTCATTCATTACCTTTACGAGCGCATAGGAATAATCTATCTCAAGGATTTTCCTGTTCGAATG